TAGCCTAAAACTAAAACAACTCATAACACTATGCTTATATAAAGGGGCTTGAAGACAATGGTGAGGCTCATCGTGCAATTGTTCCCATGAGAACCGTCATCTTTTCTCTATACATCTTCGATGATATTATCATATCTAGCAAAATCATTGTCTTCTTCATCCTCCATCAACCTTATAGTGATGAGACTTGGTAAATCTCATCATGACGACAAGATGCCCTTCTTTGCCAACTTGATCGTGAATCATCGAGATCCATCCACCATAACACAATAGTTGGAAGTGCTCCTAGTGAAATATCCACTTCTTATTAGGATGTCCGCTCAGCTCCCATTATCTATTAAATGTCATAACAATGTCGTTGATCAGGTGCTCTACTCTTTCCAACACAATTCTCCTGTAGTTGTTGTTTCCATTTCCCATAGAGATAGCAAAGTTTCTCAAAAATTCTAGTTCCAACATAACTCATCCCCAACTTCTTTGTCGTCCCGTTGCCCCACCATTCTCCAAGGGATGATGACCCTCATCAAGGAGTATGACTTGACCTTCACCATGATCAAGCTAGTTGGCTTCTTCTCACTTTTATGAGTGGAGTCATTCTTGCACCTAAGCCCAAACTACTAGCTAGTCCTAAAAACCTCAATGTTTTAAGATCTGGTAAAAAATGAATAATATTGTCACAACTTTATAGTCACTAAACAAAGGGTGGCCTATATCAACAATACTACCAAAAAATTCAATATTTCCAACGTGACTTCCGATGAAATCAAAACAGCCGAAATTTTCAACTCAATTCAAAGCAGAAATTACGCCTACATCTTTTTGGGCATTTCCGACGAAATTTTCTGCTGAAAATTCCACCAATAATTCCCTAATTTGTAAATTGATGGGTCACCTTCTCTATTTCACGTGAATTCAACGCCAACGTCTTTTTTGACCCCATCCAAAGCCCATGCTCTATGGAACCTTTTTTTCTCCACTAATTTATTCAAATTTTTAAAAATCTTAAGGTAAATCTCCTTCTCTTTTAAATTTTTTCATCAATTTGAGATTTCATCCGCTAAAGTTTCCTTACGAAATGTTAAAATTTTTTAGGTTTATGGATTTTTCTTTTTAAATTTATTTAAATTTGAGTCTCTCTTACATTAGTAGTCTTCCTAAGAATATGTTATTGTTTTAGGATAGATTTACATTATTTTTTTTATTGTAGCTAAGTTATATATGTGAGTGAAAATGCTCGGTGATGTGTCGGCAAAAATAATATAATATGGTTTTGTGAAGGTGAAAATTTTATATGTTTTTGAAAAAAAAAAATTATGCTAATGAAAAAAACTTAAATGAAGGTAAAACCGCTTTAAGTAAAAAGACCATTCATCAATTTAATGTTTTGGACTATCTTTGTTACATTACAACATATACATGAATATCCAAAGCTAAAGATGGTGAATGTAAAATATATTGTTACCTGGACGAAAGGATTAATAGATAAATTTGTTAAGGGAGTTGAATATATTATTCTCATGGCATATCAAATGTTTTCATTTTTATCCAACGAAAAGTTTAGATGTCTTTGCTCAATACAAAAAAATAAAGCCAACCTTATACCCGATGAAGTTACGCTAGATTTATATCGTAGAGGATTCAGATTCCTAATGAACAATTAATTTTGGACTTCACATGGAAAATGTGAGCCACATTTCGACTCTTAATGCAATTCTTCGACAAGCTACATAACAGTAGACGAAGAAAATATTGGGAGATACGAAGAGATGGTATTTGATGTAGCTGACCCACAATTTCGAGAAAATATAAAGAGTCCCCTAAATTGATGGGCTGAATTTATATGAATTATTATGTGCACCTCAACAACTATTTTGATATGGGTGCACCACTCATTCTAAGTTATACATTGCAGTTAGGTGCTCAATATCAACACAATATATAATGTTCCTCATAAATGTTTCAATCAATTTGTTGGACTGCTGAAAGAAATTAACCCAATCGACAATTTAGTTCATGTAGTAGCATCGTCAGCAATAAGCTCAAGATGCTGAGAGCTCGGGGAGACGGACAATAATTAAAAGTTGATTTATATGTATTCTATGAGATCTTTTAATATTATAGAACATTTCATATTAAGTACTAATTCATAATTTATAATTATAATTTCAATATTGGTTTTACTATGATTGCTATTTCAAATATATCATTTGGTTTTTATTTTATGTATGTTATGTTGTCTGCATGATATGTTAGATAAATAAATCTTCTATAATTTCAATGATATGTTGGTTAAGAAAAAATATATGAAAGTTTTTTTTTTTTTTTGCTACTAAGTTTCTAACATAATTACATCTTGTACAAATGATGCATGGTTCCGTTGAAATCATGGCAAAAAAATTCACTGATACTTCATGGTAGATTCATCGGAGGCAAAAATCGCTAGTAACATCAAAAGTTACCTGCAATTATTTTCGTCAGAAAAGTTGTCGATAGTTTTTTTCCCACGACGTTTTTAATCCGTCAATGTTTCCTTCGGATTAATAGTTAAAAATCCGACAAAATTTTTCTGACAATATTATGTCGAAAAACTTTTTCTACAAACCTTTTAATAGCATATTCATATCCATCGAAATTCCACCGAAAATTAAATTATCTAATGGAAATTTATTTTCTTTCGACAAAAATGGCCGCCAGAAAAAGTATATTTTCCTTTAGTCTAATACGAGGAATTAGATCTAGGTGGGAAAGCATTCCTTAACACCCTAAAAAGCTTCATCACCCTTCTGAAAGACCCCTTCGAATCCAAGCTTCACACTTCTCTAGGATGAAGAATCCACAAAGAAAGAAAAGCTTCGCCCTCGAAGAAAGCAAACAAAAAGTGGCAAATGTGGTTGGAGACAACTCCGACTAGGAAGTAGACCAATGTCGCCAGTAATCCCTTGGATTGGGCAAAGGACAAATAATAAGAGCCGTTAAGAAACATTTATTTGACATGAGAAGTACAGGTGGCCCATGCTTGCTCTAAATGGAGGGAAACTGGTCCTCTGTAAGTCTTTTGTTGAAACCTCTAACCTTCTTGTGCTCGAGATGATATATAGCAACACAAATGGAGAGATTGGGAAGGTGTGCACTTAAACATAATTATATATTATATCCCCAAAGAGTAATGAGAAAGCTAATAATTATGATGATATGATATGTGAAAGATTTAAAATAGAAAAAAAAATTAATAGTACAAAAAATACAAATAAACAAAACTAGAGATAGAAACTTTTGAAACTTACAAGTTGAGTTTTGAATCCAATAACTGAAGATAATACTTTTAAACTTTTGACTTAAGAGTATAACCAACATGATCATTAGTAATCACACGGGCTCTTAAAGTAGTCACTACCAGTTGTTTTACACCAGAATCCCAAATAAGCTTCTAATATCATAGACGAACCAAATTGAAAAGAAATGCTAAGATAAGTTAAACTCAAACAAAATTAGCTTTTTCTTCCAATATTCTTTTCTATTTGTGTTGTGAATATTGAAGGAAAGTGTGTGCCTTGCCACGGGAGACCACACAAGGAAACCAAGCAAACTTTCATCATCCAACAAAGAAAGCAAGAATCCTTCAAAAGGCATATGCAGCCCTCCAATCCCACATTATAAAGAGTGAAGAACCTATCTTTTCAGCAATGGAGAAGGCATGAAGGCGGGAGGTAAAATACTTTGTTTGAATTACCAAATTCAACAAGCAAGCAATCAAGGGCTTGTCCTTAATACAGAATAAAGGGAATGAAAATTAGGAAGACAACTAAGATAGGTAGCCATAATCTCAAATTCAACCATCATTATTAATTCATGTTTGCTCGCTACATGAACCTAGGTATGTTAGGTTAGTTAGAATCCTTGAGCTATAAGTTAAGCTTTTTTCAATATAGTGGGTAAGGGGAAACCACTATACAAAAACAATTGCTTGGTGTTGTACACATTGGATCGATTGGCCCACAATTAGAAGCACAAAGCAGTTTTTCTCCTAAGGATTGGTGGTATACACATTGGATCAATAGACCCCTAGTTAGAAGGGAAAACTAGTTTTTCACCTCTGAGGGATGGATTGATCTATTCTTCATCAGTCTGTAAAGAAGTTCATTTCAATGTTCATTCATGCTTTTCCTCTCTATCTTAGCTTTATTTTATTATGAACCTTCACACAGTTATCTAAACTTACCTTTATATTATTTATCCTCACCTCATGGTTTTCAACAAGAATGAATTCTTGTGTTATGCTATTAGTGGTCACCTATTGTAGGTAATCCCATCTGTTAAAACAGAATATAAAAAAGAAGAAAAATTTCCTGAGAAAACAAGTTTGTGATTTGAAGGAAAAGTATAAATTTGAAATTCACAAGTTCAACATCATTACATGGATCAAGGGAATAACTTACAATACAAATTTGAAATTCCAAACTTCACTATTCTTATAGGAGAGAATAAATGTCGAATAGTCAATAAAGATGGCAAACTTAGTAGTATAAAAATTCATAAAAGGCCCCACCAACAAAGGGGCGCAGCATACAATGAACAAGAAAGATCCTCAACACTCATAAAATGAAGACTAGAACCATAAACAAGCAAACTGAATTTTCTTTTCCACAAAAATCAAAGAGCATGAATATTAGGAGTAACCAAAGATGCAACTTGATGTAAACTCGCATTCCTACGTTGTGATTAACTTACAAAATTACATTTAGAGGTCTAATCATCCTTATTAAATGAAATTCTAAATTTTGATAACTTGACTTCGTGCATCTTATTTGGAGGCATAACGGAATGTTTCCCTCTTAAATTATTTACATGGATAATCAATATCCTCGTATTGGAAGATAAGTTGCATATTTTCATTGGTTGCTAATATAAAAGAATGAGCAAAGAAGATAACTAAGAAAAAAAGAGGATGCATTTCTCATTAAAAAAAAATAGGGGATTAGAAAATGGGAAAGGAATCGCACCTTCTGTGCCAAACAGGACAATGCCTACTTCATCATTCTTAGAGTACATAAGCTGTGCCAATGACAAAGAACATAAAATTATCATGTGAGAAAAAGCCTAACGAGGAAAAGAAAGGCATAACTGAAACTAATTGAGACAATTTTTTTCCGGAAATTTACATACTAGCCACTTATACCTTTCCATTCAACATAATAACACCTTGACCATTGTATTTATGCTCTAACCATCCAAATCATTTAAATCTTTCTAAATTTCCACCTTGGGTAAAAGTTCCATCTAAGATTTCCACCATATCAACAATCCACCACTCATCCCTCTCTTACGCCATCATAAGTTGTTAGGCTACAACATAACACAACAAAAAATCACAACCCATCATATTGTAGCCAGCCTTTGATGCACTAGTGCCAAATGTCAACAGACCAACATTAAAATGCCAGTGGCTACCACCATACCACCATTAACCATTCCAATGATCAAAAATGGATGTCTTCATGATTTTCACATGTCCATCATTAAGATTAACACCAAAATAGTTTGTTGTGGCTGGCAAAGTGTTATTTTGGGCAAAGAAGACTTGGGAGTTAAACATACACCATGAAAAGCTTCAGTGGAATATATGTACATCCCCTTTTTTTATTAAATATCGATATCTTCATTGTTAAACCATATGAAGGAAAAAAATTTAAATACACAATTTAGTTTCCTTCATATGGATAGGGTTTGTTTTTTTAACTTCATGCTTTAAGTTTTAATTTTTTTTCAAATTAAAATCATTAATTATATTTATCATTTTTAAACATGTATTATTGCTCTTCAATCATTAGGTAACGGCATAATGTAACAGCCCAAACTCTTAACTATCGATATATTGTTTGCTTTGACTTAAGGGCCTTACGGTATAGCTTCTTTTACTTAATGTGTTTCACACATAAGTTCTCCATACTTCGATCTTGCCACTAGATCCATTTGTGGCAATGTGGTTGCACAAGGCAACAAGCTTGCACTCACAACAACTAACCAACCAGTGAACTTGTTGTGGCCATAGTAGAATCTCATGAGACAGATCAACCGTCTTAATCATTCTCCGGCCTTTTTTTCAAGTTTATTTGCAACACAAGCATTATTACTTGAACTGATTGTAAGAAAATAGGATTGCAAATGAAATAGTGATGTTGTTGCTATAAACCTAGTCATCTTGTCTAAGTTGGCAAAAACTAAAAGTCAATGCTTAGGATGCCAAAAGGTATGAAAGATTGCAAGTTAGTCAAAGATGCGTAAGTGCGTGAACCAAAATATCCATGAATGGGTCAGATATATGCCAACTATATACCACATATGAACATACTAAAAGCAGAAGAACTATTGACCTTGCTTATAAAACAAAGGAAACTACAAGGATATATTACCAAATTTACAGAAGGTTATCTTTTTACATCAAGAGGCAAACCTCAAGGATTTATGAAGAGGCCCCTACAAGTCTACAACCATGAAGCCCAACAACAGAACAGAAACATGGGGCCCAAAAAATTCGATGATATACCCAAAAAAACAATAAATTTAAAAACAAAGGAGAAGAAGAGGAGAAGAAAAGGTTTTTTTACCTTCTTCTGTACAAGCATTGTGCAGAGTTTTTCAATGTCGGGAAGAATATCATGCATCGTAGGGCCCACATCAACAACCAGAACTAGAGCTTCCTGCACATAGGATGAAATAAGATTAATATGATATAAAATTAACGCCCACAGTTCTTTATCCTGGAGACGACAAGTCAACGGCTTAATGTGCTCATCAAAAACTCAGCAAATTTACAATAAAAGCCTGACATCCTCATGCATAAGCTAGTACATTTTGACTTCAAAGTTCAAACAAACAGGCGAACTACGAACCAGCTGATCAGCTCCTTCCACTTTCAACAAATGTCATAACGTTCGCAGCAAAAGTCTCCGAAAAGCAATCAAAATGTAGGAAATTAAGAAAAAACACATGAGGTTTGACAACCCTTAACACAAAAGAACAAATCAGAAGAATGAATTGATGAGTTTCCCTCAGGCTTGCAGTTGGTGAAGATTGAAGAACAATGTTTTCAATGGCGAAACTTCAAATAATATTGAACAGAAAAGAAAAGAAAATAGCAGTGACATTAGGGTTGCCGAAGTTACTTTGTTGCGAGCCATCTCCAAAGGCAGGAAAATATGTACGGGAGTATAAGAAACAAGCACGATGAAGCGGAACGATCGATACTTTCCAGCTTCGTTGATTAATGGAGAGAATGACTCGGGTTCTTATTTGACTGCTGCATCTTCTGAACTTCTAATGTCGGAGTGTTCACTTGCTCTGCTTCCCGCCTACGCAACACCGAAAGGTACGGCGACTCTTGCGAATAGCTTTCAAGAGAAGCATCGAGCCCAATCTGAAGGTCGAGATCAAAGCGATTATGAATCCACTTGTCGTTGTTGGAAGAGAGAGAGACGCGGAGGTGGAAGACCAGTTCAACATGAATGTATTTTTATTTGACTCGTTTAATTTTTAAGATATTTGTGATTGATTCATTTAAATTTTTATTTTTAAAAAACTGATAATTTTTTAAAATTGCTAGTGAACATTTTTATTGTTTGGTTTGTTCAAATTTGACACAAAAATGAGCCAATTTTTAATTAATATAAAACTTAAATAATGACTCAAATACGATTAAATCATTATTTTTATATATATATATATATATCAATTTGATAATTATTTTATATATATAAATCAATTTTTATTCTTCTTATTTATTGATTGATTTAAATACAGGATACAAAATGAGCATAAGCATGAAAAAATTGGAGTAGCTCCAGTGGCAGAAAATATTAGAGTGAATTGTCTTAGATGATTTGGTTACAAAAAATGATAGTCTTCTGAAGAACTGGTTATGAGAGTAGATGTGTTAGATTTAACCTATGTTAAGAAATGTATATATATAATTAAAAAGACTTGATTTAAAAATATTAGAAATGATATTTCTTTATTAGATATAAATGAGAATTTGACTCTTAATAATACACAATGGAGAAAAAAGATTCATGTAGCTGACACCACCTAGTGGGTTACAGGCTTGATGTTGTTGGTGTTGTGTTGTGTTACTTCCTTATTTATTTCAAACTTTGGAACTATACCAAATAGAACCTATTCTAATGATGTTGTATTTGTGTCAGCCTATTAAGAAAATAACCTCAAAATATATTTTTTTTTTATTTTAATTTGCTTATCTAATGAATGAATTGAATGAGAGCAATGGGAGCATGTGATTATATGATTCAAATAGCTATTGATACATATTTTAATTGGATTTTAATAGCTATGGATATATATTTTAAATGATGTTATGAACATATCATTCAAATGATTCTTTAATACTCTATAGGAAATATATAAGTTAAGATGAAGAAAATGTATTTGAAATTTCAGACTGGCGTCAGCTCAATAGTAATATAGTTGGAGATATAAAACATTTTTTTATCAACAATCAAAATTGATTTGAACCTGGTCAAAATACTATTTTGAGCATAATTCAAACCTGATTTAAATTAAAATTTATTTGAAGAATAATCAAATCAATTTAAATATTGCTTATGCAATATTTGATACTTTGTTATGCAAAACTAATATTCTAAAGTATAAAAATAGGAATATTCATATTTTTCTCATACTAAATCTCTCCCTGACAATCTTGGTCCATGAAAACTAAACCTAAAAATTTTGTCATGATCATCTCTCTTTATGAGAATCTTTGATCATCTAATTTCATCATATAAATATGAAATGGTGACTCAAAGTAACTAAAATCTCCAGCTCAATACTCCCTTGGGTCAAATTGGTCATATATGCATCATATGCTTATATTTATTGAACGGCTAACCTATGGATGCAATGAACATGTTTGAATGGAGTTCAAATCAATTTGAATATGATTTCAAACTTATTCAGCTTTTATTCAAACATTTTTCAATTGTTGCTGATTTTGATTCACATAACATTGATACTAAGTCCAATAATAATTGATTTTTGTTTGAATCTTATTTGACCATACTATAATCTTGTAATTGTTTATATTTAGAGCCCTATGTTCTGTAGGAGGATCAAATATTATGCTTCTTTTATTGTATTAAAGGTATGAAAAAATATAACCAAATTGGTTATACATTACTTTGTTCGAACTTTGTTTGAAGCTAGTGTATTTGAGTGTCAAACATCAATTTTGAAGCTGATATTCAAACCCTAAGTTCGAACCAGTTTTGAACCTCTATTTTTTAGCTAATTATTCATATTAGGTTTGAGTGCCACATTATCTGTTCAAAAAGGCTTTAATCTGGTTCAAACTTATTTTTCGAACATTGTATTATTTGTATGTACTTGTACAAGATTAATTTTTGAACCAAGCATTTGAACCGATCTCATTTTTAAGAGAAATTATTCTGTGCGGAGTCTAGATGGAAAGTTCCCGTCCGGACTGTGAGTGTACACAATGTGTATATTGAGTATAATTTTTATACACAATTTGGTTCAAATCGTATATATAATGTTAGCACACAATATGTATACTCACATTCCAAACGGGAACTTCCGTTCGTACTCCGCACGGAATAATTTATCCCTTTCTAGGATAAGGGACATCGTGGAAGCATACTGGAATAAAATCGCATGGGAGGGTTGTTGAAGTCTTGGGTGTGTAAGAAGTTGGAGTGAAAATGATGAAAATCAGAATAATACAATAAGGATATTAATTGTGTTGTACGTCTTGTTTTCCAAGCTTGATCAAGATTGTCCACATGAAAAAGTGATTCAAACTCTATGATCTCATTCATTTCCTTAAGATTCGGAAGCTAGCTCAAAAGTCGCCTCAACCAAGATCCCCGTATAACTATTAATCCCTTTGAACTGATCAGGTATGCCTACCAAACTAATATGCTGAAAATCATCCAAATAACTAATCAAACATATCACAAAATCAAAACCAACAATCCAAATTAACAACTATTAAGAGATGTTAGAGTTCATTTAATCAATGCTCATTCTGTGAGATCCTTTGGCCAGCAGGAACGGAGAGAGAAGAACAGATAATAGAGAAAAGGAAAAGGAAAAATGTAATTTCATATCATCTAAATGTAATACATGGTAGCTCTTTATAGATAGGTATGAGAGAAAGAAAGCAAGATAATATAGAAATTGATAACGGTTAGGACACGTCCGCTGGTGACGTGTAAGGCGTTCTAACATGCCCCCTCAAGTTAAGCATCCATAGGTTGGATGGTTAATTTGTGACGGAGATTGTTGAATCGGGTTATAGAGAGAGGCTTTGTAAGAATGTCCATTATTTGATTCATTGAGCTTATATATGAGATGGTTAGAGCTCCAGACTTGATGTGCTCACTAATGAAATGATATTCAATTTCTATGTGTTTCATTCTTACGTGGAAGACTGGATTGTTCGCAAGAGCGATAACGGAGGTATTGTCATAATGTATGATAATAGGATTTTTTTGGTAGTTGAAGTTCAGTGACAAGACGGTGAAGCCATAAGCCATCGGAAGTTGCTGTTAAGAGAGATCGATATTCGGCTTCAGTGGAAGATTTTGTCATAGTGGTCTGCTTTTTGACGGACCAGGAAATGATATTTGGTCTGAGAAAGGAACAGAACCCTGTGATTGATTTTATGTCTTTGGAATATGTCACCCAGTCTGCATCTACATAAGTCCTGAGTTGACGATCACCAACGGTGAGCGGAAAACCAAATTGGGAGGTACCTTTGATATATCGGAGGAGTCTTTTGAGATCTTTGTGATCCTGTGTAGTTGGAGCATGCATATTTGGGCAAATGAAATTTGTTGCAAAGGCAATGTCCGGCCTTGTGATTGAAAGGTATTGAAGAGAGCCAGCCAATTTGTGGTAGAGCTGAAGATTTTAGTATAGTTCATTTGATGAGTTCTTGGAGGTTGATTTAGGAGTCATCGGTGTTGGAGCCTGTTTGCAATCTTCAACCCTGGCCATTTGGAGAATGTTTTTAGCATAATGTTGTTGATGGAAAAAGAAACCGGTCGGAGTTTTGATGATTTGTATGCCAAGAAATAGTGAGATGTCTCCCATTTGTTTGAGCTTGAAGTTGGAGTATAGTTGCTTTAGGAGTATCTCAATTGTCTTTGAATCATTGACTGTTTAGAGAATATCATCAACGTATATTAATAAAAATAATTGAATGTGATTATGGTGATAGAGGAGAAGGGACGGATCCGAGCGGCCGAACACAAATCCAAATTTTTGAAGGAACATGGTGAACTTTTGGAACCACTGTCTCGGAGCTTGTTTTAGCCCATATAGCGATTTGTGGAGCTTGCAGATGTAGTATGGATTTTGCTTGTCAAGGAAGCATGGCGGTTGTCGCATATAAAGTTCTTCTTGTAAATCACGAGAAGGAAGGCATTCGATACATTCATTTGAGTAATTGACCAACTGCGATTGAGTGATAGGGTAAAAAGGATTCTAATGGTTGGCATGTTTGCGACTGAACTTAACATTTATTTTTAGTTAATACCAAATTATTATGTGAAGCCTTGGGCTACAAAACGAGCTTTGTAACTTCCTATGGTGCCATTCAGAAGCATTTTGGTTTTGAAGGTCCATTTACTGCCAAGAATAGGTGTGTTCGGTGGAGCCGGAACAAGAGACCAAGTACCCTACTGTTGGAGGGTAAGGAATTCAGATGACATGGCGGAACTCCAATGTTGATATTTAGATACTTGGTTATAAGTCGTTGGAGTGAGTATATTGGCTGAAAGATAAAAAATTTGCTTTGGGCGGGTGATACCAGACTTGGATCTGATTTGCATCAGGTGAAGGATAGGTTGAGTGATCATATGTGATGGGAGATTAGGCTGATCAGATGAAATATGTGATGGAGAAGTAACGGGTAGTTGAAGTCGAGGTGACGGGTTAGGAAGAAGTTTGAAAGAGTTGTTGGAAATAACGAACGTTGGTGTGAGAAGAAGGGGAGAGTAATTGGGAGATTCAATGGGCTGAGATGTGTTTGACGGAATAGTTGAGTAAGGAAAATTGTGTTCGTGAAAAATTAAGTGCTGAGATATGTGAAGTTTGTTTGTGAGAATGTTGAGGCACGATATCCTTTGTGAGATGACGAATATCCTAAAAAGATGCATGCTTGAGATCTTGGAGAGAGTTTGGTAGGTGCGTAAGGTTGAAGCCATGGGAAGCAAAGACATCTGAAGGTGCGAAAGATGAGTGTAATTAAGAGAATGTCCATGAAGTTTTGGGTAGGGTGTTTGAAAGGAAATAGATTTAGAGGGCAGCCGATTATTCAGATAATTAGCAGTGGAAAGTGCTTCGGCCCAAAAGGTGATAGGAAGATTGGAGGCGGGTAAAAGAGTGTGTGTTATATCGAGGAGGTGACGATGCTTGCGTTCAGCTAAGCTGTTTTGTTCAAGAGTATGAGGGCAGTTGAGTTGATGTGTGATTCTGTGATCAAGCAGAAAATTCTGAAAAAGTTTGCTTGTGAATTCACCTCCGTCGTCGGAGCGGAAATTTTGAGGCTATAAATTGAAATTATTTTTTACTAGGGAACATAAATTCTTGAATTTAGTAAAAGTCTCATGTTTAGAATGCATAAGATATAACCAAGAGAATCAGGTAAAATCTTCTATAAATATGACATAATACTTGTAGTCGTTAAAAGATTGATGAGGTGCTGGTCCCCAAACGTCAGAGTGCACAAGATAAAAAGGTTTATGCGAGATAGAAATACTTTTACGAAATGGCAGTTTGTGGCTTTTGATTACAAGAAGTACAAATGTAAGAGGAAGGAAATTTTTGTAATGCGGGAATTTGAGAAAATAAAGTAGAAAGGGTATGATGATTTGGGTGTCCAAGACGAGCATGCCAGTCAACGATAGGTGTCGTCGCAGCTAGGAGGGTCGTGGTAAGTGTAAGCTGAGGAGATGAGACTTGATATAGACCATTATGGAGATGACCATGTAGAAGAGGGCGAATGTCCTGCATATCCTTAATAACAAACCCATTAGCGTCAAAGGAAATAAATATATTGTTATCTAAGGTAAGTTTAGAAATATAAAGTAAATTATGAGATAAGGAGGGAGCATGCAAAAGTTTGCGAAGGTATAGCTTACGAGACGATTCAGGAAGAGGAAGAAGACCTTGTCTAGAGTTTTGTATTGACAAGGAGCTTCCATTAGCAATAGAAACCGACTCATTTCCTTGATAAGAAGCATGTTGCTGAATTCTTGAGAGATATGGTGTGAGATGTGTGGATGCCTTTGAGTCAAGAACCCAATCAATGTATTGGGTCGGTTGTTGATGGGTTAAAAGAGCTCGCGATGTGGAGGTTGATGGGGCATATTTGAGGTTGCAGCGATGCCAGCAATTGAGTGCGATATGCCCAAGTTTTTCGTATATCTAGCACAGTGGGCGATCAGAATTAGGTTGGGCCGGAGTAGTCTTGTCTGAATGGTTGTTGGGTTGTGAATTTTGTTGAGGGCGAGATAATGAATTTATGCTTCCACTTCCAGTATCGTGTTGAGCCCCGTCCGCGAGTGACGTTGTTCTTGTTTGAATAAAGAACAGTTGCAGCAGTTGAAGAATTTGTTTCTTGAGATTGTTCATGTTGCACATTGATTTCGTAGCTGCAAAGTAGAGAATAGAGAGTGTCGAGATCAATGGGGTTTAGAGAAATACGAATGGCGGTTTTAAAAGAGTTGTAATTGGATGGTAGGCCATTCAAGTTGTACAAGACAATATCCTCAGTGTCTATTTTGGATCTGGCGACATTGATACTATCTACGAGCGTCTTGATGGAAGCAATATATTGTTGCATAGGTCGATCCCGCATTTGGACATGATGAATTTCGTTCTTAAGTTGTATAACTCGAGAGCGATTTGTTGGTTGAAATCGACATTCAAGAATGGTCCATACTTCGTGGTACGTGGAGGAGGCTAGGACTTAAGGAAGAACATAAGGTGAGATCCTAGCCAACAAAGAAAAAAACAAGTTACGATCAATTAATCACCAAAGATGAAAATCGGAGCCAGTGGTATCGTTAGGAGAGGCAATATGTCCGGTGAGATGTCCAAGAAAGCCATTGGCCGAGGATGTATGGAAAATTTGCGGATGCCATATTACATAATTATCGCTAGAAAGTTGGATTGGAATGAGATGTTTGAGGTTAGCGATTAAAAATTTCAGGGGAGGAGGTAGAACGAAATCTTTTAAAGAAGTATAGATACTGGAAGTGGGAGGGATTGATGAAGCGGAATCTTGGTCCGCCATCACTAGTGAGGAACTTCGGTTGAAGCGACGCTAGGAGCTGCAGGATGCAGCAAAATCTTGGTTCGTCATCCCCTGAGAGGAGGTTCTATTGAGGCGACGCAAAGAGCTGAGGAACGAAGTGGAATCTAGGTCCGCCGTCGCCGGAGAGGAGCTTCAGTTGAGATGAAGCTGGATGTTGTGAGCAAAAGAAGCGAAGAGCTCTGATGTGAGATCCTTTGGCCAGCAGGAACGGAGAGACAAGAACAGAGAAAAGGAAAAGGAAAAATGTAATCTCATATCATCAAAATGTAATACATGGTGGCTATTTATAGATAGCTATGAGAGAAAGAAAACAAGATAATACAGAAATTGATAACGGTTAGGACATGTCACCAAGGCGTTCTAACACGTTCCTAATCCTACTATTTCTCTCCTTCTGAACATCGAACTATCCTTGCAATCGAGAAGTTGCTCCCGGCTCCGGAGTTGCTCGTCTTTATAGTATCCATCCAATGCAGATTGACGCAACATGTTAGGTCTCCTTTCTTATAGGCCTTGTGCTTAGGTAAGAGTGTATTACTTAAATCAAGGTTCGTTTGATTTGAAGGATAGTAAGAGAAATGAAAGGACCATTCAAATGATTTATGGATTGATAAGAATCGGCATCCATTTGCATTTCGTTCTGCTCAAATGATCAGCGTCCAGACAAAGCCTTACAAAATTGATATGTATGTATCTTCACTTTTTTCCTCAAATGAAGCAGAATTACCTTAAGTTAGAATTGGTTAATTGTTGTAACTTGATGTCAGGTTTATGCTTCCCATATGGAACTAGTTCGATATAAATAATGTGTGTGAAATGACACTCTTGTCCAGAATTTGTGTGCAACAGCACTCTTTTCCAAGTATTTGAATGAGTTCTTGGTCATAGTCAGTATCTAGTCAAGCTAAGAATTCATAAATTCTGTTTACTTCTACAAAAATTATTACCATTGCATCATTGACATTTCATTTTATTTTTTATATACAAGTAGTAATTGAGTTCGTGCCATATATTTTTTTCAATAAAAATTTTAAAATTCCCTCTGATAGTGATGTATAGGTTATTCAATCAATTGAACAAAAAAATGAAGGATTTGAAAAGCCAAAGTTAAATCTAGATATTATAACTGAATGATTATTTGCCACATGAATTTCCTTTTTTTCCCTATTCACCGTGACTGCCAGTGTCTTCTCGTGATTATAAAATAGCTAAAATTTGACGGATATGATGATTTTTTAATAGTTTATAGGAATTTTGCTCTGAAATTTGTTCATGCACTACCTAGATCTAGGGGTGTAAGTGAGCCAAACCGGCTCGTGAGCTGGCTCGAACTCGACTCGTTAACGAGCTCGCGAGCCGAGCTTATCGAGCTTCGAGCTCGAGCTCAAGCCTACAATCAAGCTCATATGATAAACGAGCTCGAGTTAGAGCTCAACCCGACTCGACTCGAAAGCTTATCAAGCAACTCGATATAATTTTATATATTATATTTATATATAATAATGCATCACATGCATTGGTGCTTCTCAAACGAGCTCGAACTTTTCGAACGAGCTCGAGCTTTTGAGTCGAGCTCGAGCTTGATATTTTCTAAACGAGTTGATCTCGAGCCCACTAATCGAGCTCGCGTGAAATAAGGATTAAACAAGCCAGGCTTGATAAGACAAATACTCGACTCGACTCCACTCGTTTACACCCCTACCTAGATCCATATGGATAATTTTTTCTAAACAAATAATTTTGTCTTGCTTTTTTTACTTGACCAATTGACGACTTGATGTAGACAATATGGCATATGAGGTATCTTATCATTTTCAGGATTCAGTATATTTCTATATAATTCTGCCTTACTGATGTAGTGGATCGTCGGAAGATGATACCTGCAAGAAGGATTTTAGGATTTTCCCAATCCATGGAAGAAACAAGAAGCTTTCAAAGCTTTCTAATGGGTATAATATCATTCAATAATCCTCAAAACCTTACATTGGACCTATTTAAAGAGGAAAATAGAAGTCTCTTGAGCAAGGAAGGTAAACTAGTCCCTAAGCACAATAAAAGCTATGATGTTCCTACATCATTCTCCCCTTGCATAAAAAGAGCTCGACTCCGTTCGAGGCTTGCTAATTAGAAGGGAGGTAAGGTGGCAAACAAAATTCCGGGATCGAAGACTTTGAATGCAGGCTTCCAAATTAGTACATGAAGAGGCTTCCTGTGAGTCCCTCGAAGCCTTGAAGAATCATTCACATACTGCTCAAGTAGAGCCTAATTGTGGCACCTTCTGAGCCAGTTCCAGATAGGCGGAATGTCAGTCGGGAATCATATGCAAACAAGAGACGGATTACCTGGTGCTTGGAGACTGAATCATCCACCCGATCGTTGTACTCAAGTTAATCAGCATTCACAACATCCGTCTTCTGCACTTTAGTAGGAAACCAATATGGGCATTCAAATTCAGCCTTTAGCCAAGCATACTGGTCAGAATATTCACCATAATCTGTATAAGAGCCAAGCATAATCACATGGACACCTGCAACTTCAAAAGAATAATAGAGATTTGAAGTGGAGCCGCTCTCTGCATAAGTCATTTTCCACCTTGCATTGTATGACTGGAATGGAGATTTAATAAATGGAATACTCTCCATCTCATGGTTCCCTTCTGTTACCATCCACGACCTAGCACTTGCATATGGTTGTATCAGCTCACCAAAGGAATCCCACAAGTGTTGTAGATAATCAGCATAGGAAAGGTCCCCTGGGAGCAAATGCAAATCATATTGGCAATCATTGATGTGCGATAGTGTGGATGCAGTCCAATCAGTCTGACCAAGATCACCAACTACAGCAAAAGTTAATGGGAATTTAGAAGGAGGGGTCTTAAACTGAAACTCTGGTTCAGATGATTCTGTGTACTTCCCAGGGAACGTTCCATATTCAACCAACGATGGAAAAGATTTATCATCAGTGACCCAAGAAATTCTCATGTGTTTCTCTCCAGCCAAAGAAATGTGAACCTGGGCGGAAAGGACATGAACGTCGGAAGAAGCTTCGCCCTCAACCATGCTGGAGTGCTGAGTGTTTGGATTTGGTTGATTTGAGCCAAGTGCAGCAGCCAGAGAAGGGTTCCAAGCGTTATTTTTTTCCAACATCTCTAGCAGCTTTGTCTTAGCTTCATTCAAGTGGTCTACCTTGACATTATGTCGAGCAGCTGAGGAGCATTACCCATGATCAACTTTGTCAGCCAAGTTTAAACTTGGAATTTCCACACCTGCAGTAAAATCATTCACATCACCAACATTGTAGTTGTCATTTAACTTAGTTTCTCCATCTCCATGATCCGCATCAGGATCCATGATGCAGTGCAGCCTCCGGCTGTTACTCAAGTAGGGCTCAGACCATTCCACCAGCTTCTCCTCCTTCTTTGGTGAGCGGTCGAGGAGTCGGAGCTGGCCGGATGTGCCAAATAGCCGAGGGATGCTTCCAGAAAAGTTGTTTTCCCAAAGCTGTATCTTCCAGTCCCGTGAATGTGTTCTTTGGAAGGTCCATCGATTTAAGACTTTGCAGCTGATCAAGCTCCGATGGAAGCTCTCTGGTAAGACCGTTCACCTGTAGCAAGATCGTGTCGAGGTTCTCAAGCTTACCAATCTCAGATGGGATCTCGTCGGTGCTGCCACAGCAGGCATGTTCGTCCTGCTCGATGGCCTCGGGTGGAGCACATTGGAGGTGGATCGATGAGTCCGGCGTCGGATCAAAAGGGATCGTGTCCCGGGATTATCGATGTGCACTACTCTGCAGGATTCCGTCAACGATAGTAGGATGTGTCTGGTTGCGGAGCGGAGCCGTCATCGTTAGATGATGTCGGGTCAGGATGTGGGTAGGCGTGCGGGATGAGTGAATGATTTCCATCCATGGTAGAGTAAGGAACCCGCACTGCATTGTTGTCGTCCGCAGCAGGAAGACGACAAATCTCCAGCTGGAGCTCCATCCCGACGGAGTCGGAGCAAGCAACGAGACTGGGATCTGGTCGTGATAGATCGAGCTCCTGCACAAGTCGGGTCGGCGAATCGGAGGCTGGATGTGCGGGAGTCTGGTCGGCTGCTGTCAGAGACGTCGGAGTGGCGGTAGATCGTCGGGGTTGGGAGTTTTGGGGGCCAGCGGGTTTGGCTTGAGCGGTGGTAGCGGGTTGTTTCATCGGAAATGAAATCGGAATAAACTCCCACGCAGGACATTGGGCGTGCGAGCATATCTGAACGGGATTTGGCGTGCTTGAGCGGAGGTGGTTCGCGCCACCGGAGCGGAAGCTCGAGCGGTGGGTATTCCAGTGATGGATCACGCCATTTGAGCGGGAGTTCTAGCGAAGCGTAATCATCAGCGACCGTGGGAGTATGGCAGGACGGATGGCGTCTGCGTGAAGCGGAGGAGGGGATCGAAGAAGAAGAATGTCTCGGTATGATTGCCGACGACATTCTCATACTCCTTATTGACCGAAGGGTTTCGCGAATCCGTCAAGGTTTCTATTTACCTGATCGAGCGATTTTTTCGATTGAGCTTGATAGAAGGCGATCCGGCTCCGAGCATCGTCGGCAGCCCACCTTTCTTGGCGTCGATCGTCGTCGACCGCCAATCTTGTTTTGCGGCTTCGATCGTCGTCGACAGCCGACCTTCTTCCGCAGTCCATCGATCTTCACAAGCTCGAAGCTCTGATACCAACTGATGTAGTGGATCGTCGGAAGATGATACCTGCAAGAAGGATTTTAGGATTTTCCCAATCCAGGGAAGAAACAAGAAGCTTTCAAATGGGGATAATATCATTCAATAATCCTCAAAACCTTACATTGAACCTATTTAAAGAGGAAAATAGATGTCTCTAGAGCAAGGAAAGTAAACTAGTCCCTAAGCACAATAAAAGCTATGATGTTCCTACATCACTTACCTTGCCCATCATCTCTTCTGCATCATGTATAGCTACTGTCTTAAAGATGAACATTCAGTCAATTCTTTTTCTTAGTCTTTCTGAGAAAATTAAACCGTTTTAGACGTGTGAATTGATGAGATAATGATACTCATATTGTCCATATTACTTGCAGCATTAGGAATGATTGTCTTGACATGGAATGGTTTCTCTAATTCTCTGGAACAATGTTAGATCCGTTAGCTTGACAAGTAAAGCTGCTATAACAACCTTTTATATGTTTACTTCGAAGGTAATTATTTGTGAAGCCCCGTAAGTAAAAAAAGCTGAGCTTTTAAATATCGATGCACCTTTTGTTGAAATGGTTGGAATTTCATTTAAGAAACTTCATAGTTAAGCGTGCTCATCCCAAAACAATTATGGGATCGATGATCTATTGGGAAGTTACACCAATATAATAAAACCGTGAGGTTCTTAGGCCAAAGTTGATAATATTTCGATAGTTAAGAGTTTGGATCTGCCACTACATGATTGAAGTTCTCTACTACATTATTTTGTTGTTTGAACTATATTCTCTTTAAAAAAAAAAAAAAACCTTATCCAATGAAAATATTAGAAAGTATTCTAGTATAATAATTGTAATGCTATTCTACTCGCTTCTAATGTCTATTCTTCTTTCTTTGGTACTATTTGGCAGCAATTTTATGCTAAGTACTTGCTCACTCCACTCATAAGATGAAGGATGTTGGAGTAGAAGCAGGTATCACACTTGCATGTTTTTCAATGTATAAAATTTTTTACTGATTTTATTATACCTTATTAATTAATCATTTGAACTAGTGGATTCTGGTGAATCAATTTCTGAAGGTGTAGTGACTATCTTGCCCCAGGGGTGTCAATATTGGACACGACCCGAAAATCCGACTCGAACCCGACACGGAAATTTCGGAACCGGTTCGGGTTCGGGTTAGAGATTTCAACCTATTTGTAAAACCAGGTTGGGTTGACCCGTAAACCCGGAATCAACCCGGTTTGACTCGGGTTTGCGTCATTCACGTCCGCGTCCATCCGTCATGTCATCTGCGCTCTGTCACGTTGTCTGCGGTCTGTCGGGTTCGACTTCGCATCCGCGGTTGGCCGTCTGCGTCAAGACTCAAGCGGTCAAGCCCATAGGGCATTCCGGAACCGCCGAACATTTCCCGCGCAATGATCCGCCATCCGCCCGTCCGGTGACCGCTGCCCTCGCACCGTCGCTGCGTCGCATGCCCGCAAACGGACTAACAGAGTCACCCTGTTCGCCAACCATACTCGCAATCGCGTCCGCCGCCGGTCCATTCGCCGGCTATTTCGGGCGCTTGCTCAGCCAAATAGCAGAAATCTGTGTCGGGTCGGGTTGACCCAAACCCGAAGCGGGCTGGGTTCGGGTTGACCCGAATAGTGCCGGATCAATTTTGAGTTCGACCCGAACCTGACCTGTGACCCAAAATTGACACCCCTATCTTGCCTTGTTCCTAATATTCATTTTCTTGTTAGAATTACTTCTGGAATGAGTATTGTTGGATGTAGGTCAGTTTCTATGCAAGAAGATACTACAAATAGTTTTGTGTTGGCTCAAACAATTAAGGCAATTTCACATCATAGCGACTGACACCAAAAGGCTTGAATGCACTTTTGAGATTTGGTGGTTCAAAGAAAGTGAAACTCCACGTCATTTAAATATTTGATTTCCCATCAATTAATCACACACTTGGAGGAATGTAGTTGCATATTTCACTGGAGGGACAAAATCTTTCAGGTTTGCTTATCAATTGCAATCTTGATTCAGTTTGCTTCTACATCTCCTTTGATGTTTGATCCTGATCAATACCTGTCTTTCTAGACAAAGGACTAGTATGTTATTTTCTTCATTGTATTTTTTTACTTAATTAAATTTGCATGAATAAGATCTAAGAAATCAACCTATTCATATTCATGATTTCATGATTTTATATTTCAAACTGTCTTTCGGCTGCAGGCTAGAGTGGATGACAATGATGTGGGGAAACAGAGATCCCAATACTTGGTTGCTATTGTAATCAGGCGTGGAGCCAGAATTATTTTCATGTGGGAGCACAAATTATTGAATTTAAAAAAACCCTCAATCTTTTCTTCCAGGCTTAGGACCGGCATAGTTGATTTTAATTTGTTTTCTTAAATCATCAGACTCAACATAAAATGATAGAATATATGATAAATGAAAAAAATTACAATTGAAAACTTTAAATCATGATATTTTTCTTACATATTATCTATAATTTTTCACTCCAAATATATTTTTAAGTTGAATGAAAATATAATTAGCAAAAATATAATATTGAAAGATATAATAAAGTGTCAAAAGAACATAAAAGTCTTAATTTGTATTGAAAAAATTCTAAATCCGCTACTCAAAACTTTCAAATCTAATCAAGAATTTATTGAACTAAATAAACTGTGATAATCCGACAAAATAATTTACAATATTAACAAAAAGTAGAAATTAAATTTTGTTACAAGCACCTTTAGTTACAAAATAAATAAAGAATAATTATTTAATTTCTTTTAATATTAGTAAACCTTTAAAAAAAATCATAAATTTAAATTTTTATCTTAGATATATCAATCTTCTAATGCTGTTGCACATCCATTCCAACCCTTACTCAACAACTCTTCAATTCCTTTTAATATAAGTAAATCTGCGTAATAATTTTTTATAGATAAAAATTAAACTGGTAATTTAGAAATTGAAGATGAGCAAATAATCAAATGGCCAGGGGCGGATCCAGCTCCTTTTTTTAGGGTGGGCAAAAAAAAAAAAATTTGTGAGGGATCGGCAAAGATGCTTAGGATTGATAAAAGTAGGACAAAAAAGATTCTTGAGGGGGGGGGGCAAAATGCCCAAAATACTCAAAATATTTCAAAATCTCCCCTCTAAATATTTTAAATTTTTTTTTTTAGGGTGGGCATTTGCCCACCCTAAGCCATGGGTGGATCCGCCCATGCAAATGGCTACAGTCTGTAGCCATTCATTTTTTTTTCTTGGGAATAGGTACACGATAGAGAAAACAGAATGATTTTTTTTTATATAAAAATAGCAGAATCTTCTGTTTTGGAGAGGGAGAGAGAGAGAGAGCTTGATTGAAAAAAATGAGGTTTGAGGAGAAGCACAGGTGAGCATAAGAAGGCATAGCTTTTTCTATTTAATGAAGGATTATCATAAGCCATTTTTCTTGGAAACAATAATTAGTCTTAATTAGATACTAATTAACTCGCCAATGGCCAATGGAACAATTATTACGTCCTCCGATCGGATGCAGAGGAACATCCAGTTGTAGGCAAAATCCCGCCTTTACCGACCAAAAAACTCGGTACACCTCGGTATAGGCGGGATTTTGCCTACAACCGGATGTTCCTCTGCATCCTTACACCGGACCAAATAAAGTTCCTACCAATGGGGGCCCTTGCCCCCATGGCCCCCATGTTAAATCCGTCCATGATTGTAATAAGTAAATAATCCATTAAATAACTAAAATCTTACAAATGAAATAAATGCAATAAAGAGTGAAATAATATATTGTAAATCATATAAAAAAATATTTGCCGGGTATCCATAGAGAAGATGTTGAGAAGATGAATAATTATGTAGCTCATTGATTGAAAGTTCACGTAACTCTTGAGCGAGGCTTTCAAATTTTATTTCTATAACATAAGGCGTAATTTCATATTATCAAAAATTTTGGGTGTAATTTTCTAAGAATATAAATAACGAGAATATTTCTCTAACAATGTCAATTATGAGGCATATAATATCAATTTTCCTTGATAATGTTCATATTGCTACCCTATAAATATGTTATTAAAATATATAAATGATTATTTAAAAAACCAGCTAAAATAGAATTATGAACTCTACTTGAAAATTTGATTTTATATGCTCAATAATCGCAAAAAAAAAAAAAAGGAGAAATATGCTCGCAGTTTGTTTTGTTAGAAAAAATACACGAAGTTAATTTAAAACAAAAATACCTAATGCATAGAAATAAAGGCGAAATCTTCGCACACGCAGTCAAGCAAACTTTAAAAACAAAAAAGTGGGGCGTCTTACTGAATTTCAGATATTTCGCGATTGCTCCGCAGTGCCAGATTTTGTGTTTACGGAGCTCTACTCATTTTTGCTCCTCGCAGAAAATGTCTCTTTCTGATCGGGTAGATTGAGCAAATAAGGACGAAGAGGAAGCCAAAAACTGAGAAAATCAAAAGGCCAACCTTTTATTCTTGAGGGCGTCTTCACGGCGATGGTAGGAGCCGTCATAGCGTGGCTTTTCGGCTTCTTCATGCTCATCGGTCTGCTTCTCCTTGTAATTTACCAGGTATTATCCGTAAAACCCTATCACTGCGAAAAAAAAGTTCGACTAGATAAACAACCCATGTTCTAAGACCTTTTTTTAATGGTATAAGAAGTTGCATTCGTATTGGCATTACCATACTACGTATCATTTTGGTTTAATGTATTGTGTTGATAACGTGTTAAAAATCTCACAGTCGAGGGGGGAAGTATCGCATCTGAAAGGTGTTTTCTTCAATTATATGAATACTCACAGTCGTGTTATGTAAGCTTGTCTATGATTTAGGATGAGCTTTGATAGGTTTTTGGGTAGTTTGATACGGATTTGATTCACCCGCCTATGCTCAACTTTTCGCTAATTAACTAAGTGTCTGGATCATTCAGGCTAAATTTGATTTTTATGGCATGGGATGGATTTTTATAGGTCATTGGGCTGGGTGATTTCATGCGTGCTGTTATTCTTCTATTTTTATATGGTCACAAAGTTTGGGGCAAACGCCTATTACTTTTTTTATGCCATGTGGAAATGGAGATAGAGTTGCATTGTGTCAGTTCTGGCATTTTTTTTTATCATATTGTTTGCAGTTGGGAAGAAAAACCGTTAGACAAAAAGCAATGGTAAAAAGATAAAAAATGCTAAGAACTCAACACACAAGACAAAAGTATATTTGATCCAGTCTTCAGGTGCGCTAAAAATACATTCCACTCTAATTAAGAGGAGTATATAATAATTTTTTTTCCTTTAAATTCATTTTAATATTGAGAGATGATAAGCGACCAAACAATGAAGTGAAATAATTAGATGAGTAGATATCAAATAACTTTGAGCTGAATTTCATATTAATATCAATAAGATACTTTTTTGATACCACCAAACTTGTCTTAAACACTATCCCATTTATTTTAGTACCATTGCGCTTTCCGACGACACCTTCGAACATGTCTATACTGTCACCACGTTGTACCGCATTAAAGTAGTTCACCACAATCACAAATAGAAGCACCAAGGGTCTCTCTCTATCTGACTATCTCCCTTGGTCTCTCTCTACAATCTTTCTCATATAGTTATCTTCTCATGTCAACCCAAGTAAGCCACGTAGGAAACTTCCACTTGACATTATTTTTCTGCTCTCATAAAACCACATAGTTGAGGAAACTCGAGTTCAATTTTTATTTACATTGTTGTTGACAAGTTTTAGGTGTTAATATATTTCTAGTGTTCTCAGTGAGATCCTTCATGACACAACTAATGAAACATGTTGGGAGAGCATCCATAATATAATTATATGAGAGAAAATTTAGAGTATAATGATCATCCACGTGTAATTGCATCGCCACACTCAATTCTAGAACAAGTATAGAAGGCTCCTCTTTTCAACTCAAGTTGATGACACTCTTAACTCACGTCTCTTTTTTAGGCAAGATGGATGCCCTCTTAAACAATGTTAAGATAATCCACAAAAGTAGGGTATCCTACCAACTCCTAGCCTTAAAATTGCAAATGTTTAACCTCACAACATACCTGTAAATCTTATTCATGTTGGCCCTATACACTTTTAAGGAGTTTGGAAGGATAATAGTTTCGATCTATTGTCAAGTAAATTAAAAATCACAAGCAATTTAGTGACGCACTTGTAAAATGAACTCATTGTTGCTTTCATGGTTTTATACTAAAGTGCAATCAGGGTTATCATACAAGATCGTGATTTGTTTGTGGATGTAGTGAGATCTCACATACCATCCAAAGTATGTTGCTCCAATTCATTAACAAATATTTGAGTTATGCATTAGTTCAAGACTTAAGGAACTTTTTCTCATCCCCGATGACATAAATTAAGACTTATTTAGGTCACTTGAGAGAGACCTTCCTCTTTGCTTTGTTGTACATAGAGAGCTATACTCTATAGTTCAGATATTTAGTATAAGATTGATCAAAGCATTCAAAATTTTCTTAAACCTCAATTGATTATTTTTTAGTATAAGTTTGCTACACTTTAGCTCATGTGCAATAAAGAAAAGTTGCCTCAGAGGAGGGCATAATTTGACTTGGACCTGTTTATTCTTTAACACCCTCTTATGCTTTTTCCTCATAATGTTTGATAGTGACTTTTTTTTTCATATCTCTAAATATCATAAGCTAAGTAATAGGTATAACAAACATAAAGAAGTCCTCCTCAAAAGCTCAAGGAACTAGTATAAGGTGAACAATATTTAATAAAAAGCATGTTAAAAAGGGTTTATGAGTTAATGTGTGTCACATAAGCTCAAATTTAAAATATAATACTCTACATAACATTTTCATCTTTATTTTTGAACAATTATAAAATATTTTTACCCTCAAGCATCTTATTTCTCTTCTAGCTCAACATCCTTGAGGCTCCCCCTTATAGGAAACTAAGCATATTTGCTAGTATGCTCTAGGATGGCTTCAAAAGTCTAGTTATAATGAAATGGCATGTACATTTATTTATGACACTTATTCAAGAAATATGGTCTCATAGTGCATCACATTCTTCTTCAACCCTCTCAATATCCTATCTCATGATTGCCTAAATTAACTATGAGCATTAAAAAAAGAAAAAACTTTCTATTTTTCAACCAATCTGCGCATCCTAATAAAAATAATACCACATATATCATGTTTGAAAAGTATACCATTTACAAGATAACATAAACCTACCTTCCACCTATCACCTCTCTTATTGCACTCCATGAATATATATATATATATATATATTCTTGAAGTTTTTATCTCCATCAAAGTTATTATCTATTAGCAAACCCTTTGTGTCAATCATATTAAATTCCTCCTCAAATGGGAACTCTCCAAAATCCAACCCAGTTATCATAACAAATTCAACATTCAACAATGCCAAATATTATATGCTTGCCTCCAATATTGAACATAATGAAGTATTTCCCATTTTCATCATCATCAACCATCCTTAGTAATAATTGATGAATTAGGGTGGTAGAAAATTAGAGTTATTGAGTTATAAAGAACTACTAAAGTGGAAACTCTCATTTTTTCCAATGAGATCATTAGCCTAAAATTGCCTAATTCAAATTATGTTTGAACCATTTTGGAACCTTGGTCAAGCATTGCTTTAACAAAGTTCAAACTATGATCAAATCATCATTGCTTTAACAAAGTTCAAATTATGATCAAATCATGTTTGAACCATTAATTCTTGAATCTTGTTTGAATATTGCTTTAACATTATTTGAACAATGTTCAAACTTTGTTCGAACTGCAATCCAAAAAATTTCAAATTATGCTTGAACCCTATTTTAAATATAATCAAATCATATTTGATAATATTCAAACATTACTTGAACCATGCTTTAACCTTGTTTGAACTTTGTTCCAATCAAATTCGAACAAATTATGAACCTTATTGTAACCATATTCAATCACTCCCGAGGATCTATGGTGAAAGAATTTCTTTTCTTTTTTTTTTCAATATTTATTATCTTGTCAAATCATTCTATTAATTAATCAACCATTGAAACCAAATCAATATCAATATCCAAAGCGAATTAATTTCATTACAGAGAACAAATAAATAGTAAAAAATATAATCCCTATTTATATAGTCCAGAATAACATCATAATAGTAGAGTCTAAAATACTATATAAAATAGAGACTTTGGCTACAAAAGAATACATAAACGAAATATCTGAAGTAAAGCTACACTAGTCTCACTATATATATAGTCTCAAGTTGCAGACTCCTTATCTAAAATTATTTAAACCGCATAATGAGAAAATAACCAAGCAATTAACTAAAATATTACAACTGATTTACTGTAGAAATCAGATTTACTGTATAACAGAGACACTAGTGCCACGGCGACTGTTTCTCGTGCCGTAGTTCTCTCAACCCTAGTGCCTCAGCGCTCATGTGTACAGCGCTGAAGCTCTCTAGTTCAATCATCAATTTAAAAATTCATATTTTTTATTTAAAATGCTTTTCGTATCTTTGGATTGGTACATAATCAAACCTTGTTATAACCTTGCTTGAATCTAAAAAACTAAAGTTCAAGCTCGAGGTTGGATTTGTGAATTCTCCAATTCTAAAACATTTGCAAGGTGGCTCAAGACGGCTTTTATTCAAATATTGTTTCAACCTTATTGTAACCATATTCAAGCCATGCTTAAATTTTCTTTGAACCTTATTCAAAGCTTTTTTAAATTAAATCTTGCTAGAATAGTTTTTTAATATTATTTGAACCTTGTTTAAACCTTATTCAAAAATTCAAACAAGATTTGAATAATTTTCGAAGATGGCTCAAACAATGTTCTAAAATGTTTGGAGCATATAATGTGATGTTTAATGTTATTTTGTGTTTAACATTTGGAGTGCTAACAATGTATTCAAACTTAAATTACCGAATCTATAACTTAACTAACCTTAAATAGATAGACATAAAAACTTTATTGTGAAAATTTGCTAAAGGTTGATCACACTTGCTTGAAGATCATCGGAGATGGAGAAGGTGCTGAGAAGGGGAATAATTACGTTGCTCATTGGTAGAAAGTTCACGTAACTCTCGAGCGATGCTTCCAAATTTTATTTCTATAACATTAGGGGTAGTTTCATATAACAAAAAAAATTCGACATAGTTCTCTAAGAATATAAATAATGAGAATATTTCTCTAACAATGTCCATTATGAGTCATATAATATCAAATTGCTGAATTTCAGTCATTATGGCGAGTATTTCGCGATAGCTCCGATCGCTCCGCAGTGGTTTTGACAGATTTTGTGTTTACGGAGCTCTATTCATTTTTGCTCCTCGCAGAAGATCTCTCTTTCTGATCGGGTAGGTTGAGCAGATAAGGACGAAGAGGAAGCCAAAAACAGAGGAAATCAGAAGGCCGACCTTTTAATTATTGGGGGCGTTTTCACGGCGATGGTAGGAGCCGTAATAGCGTGGCTTTTCGGCTTCTTCATGCTCATCGGTCTGCTTCTCCTTGTAATTTACCAGGTATTATCCGTAAAACCCTATCACTACGAAAAA